TCCTTTTTATATTGATGAATTCTGTTCATATCACTGTTTTTCAGACTAGTAAAGGGTAAATTCACATTCATCTTAAATTGTAAATATAATAGTATATGAAATAATCATAACCAAACAGTTTATTTAAAAATCTAGGTGTTTTTAAACCCACAGATGGCTTGGTAACAATCTCTATTTTGAATTTGGGGGGCTACTTAAGTATTCAACATTCACAGTATTAGAATTTTAGAGGTTAGAAGCATTGGTCATCCAACATAACTCTCAATGTAATAGATGAGCAATATTAGACCCTCAGAAGAGTAGTTTGTCCAGTGTCTCAACACTAGGTAGATTAATTCAACTATTTTCAATAACAAAATTAAGTATCATATTTTAATATAGAATATTGCATGTTACTCATGCCCAGATACAACATTTAGTCGAGCATGTTTTTCATGTGTAACAGCAAATGAACTAATAGAATGTTGATTTTATAAATTCCAGAAGACTTTTAGTTAGAAAAGCTCTTGTCTCATAGTAGGTACTTAAATATTTGTGGAATAAGTAATAGCTAAGAGCTCATGTTTAATGAATGCTGAGTAATATGTGTGGCAGTCAACGTGCAAAGTTTATTAGGTGGGCCATCTCCTTCAATCCTCATCCACCTGCTAAAAACCAATATTGAAACTGGTATTATTATGCCAATTTTAAAGAAAAGGAAACTAAAAATAAAGATTCGAAACTAACTTATCAGTTAATCTGCTCCCAATTCCTCACTCTTAATCAGATAGAAGTGGGGAGCTAACATATGGTCTTAAATTTATACTATGATGTAAATAACTGATAATATATTCTTCTTGGAGAATGGGTTTTTGAAAGAACACCTTTATCAGAAAAGAATAGGGAGCAAAAACAGGTCCAAAAAAAGCTTTATGTGATTCATCGTTCTCCCCAAAGGTCGATTTTGACAAAATTCATTTACAATATTAAGCAACATTTTAGGACATATATTCATATGCTTGAATTTTTCTCATTACATTGTGTAAGGTAAAAATATTTAAAGCAAATATGGAAGAGGGTGAATTATATAAGAAATTCCTTTCTTATACTGCAATAATGAGATATTTTATACTGAGACATTCAACAGATTGCTTAAGATCATGGAATGTATTATGAACGCATTTACGTTTCCTTCTGCTGATGGGTAAAGTCTGACTTGTTTTCTCATACATAATATGCAAGGGTACTTCAAAAAGTTTATGGAAAAATAGAATTAAAAGATAATTGGAATCTTTCCACAAACTTTTGATGTACCCTTCCATGTATAATAATATATACCACCGCATATTTGTCTTTGTTAATTGATATTTCCATTTATATTTCAGGAATCATTTTAGTTGAAATTTGAGATTTTAAAATAGATAATTCAAAATAAAGGACATCTTAGTTTATCTTTAAATTATTAACTTTTTAAAAATAATTCATCATACAAGGGTATTTCAAAAAGGTCATGGAAAGATTTGTATTATCTTTCAATTCTACTTTTCCCTGAACTTTTTGAAGTATTCCTGTATTAGAGGCTTCTCAAATTTGCTTATTACACTTGTCTCAGAATATAAAACTAATGAGATATTTTAAAAAGTGAATTGAAAGCACTGTTTGACAAATAGCATTTCAGCTCATTTAAAATCATTTCATTTAGATCGTAAACATCTAGTTGCTAATAATACTCTGGAATTAATTTCTATTAAACAAACTAACTAAAAGTCTTTGGGGATATGAATAAAAAAGTAAATGCCAACACTAACTTACTGTTTGCTACCTGAAAACTAACTAAAAGGCCAATCCAAAACATTTAGCAGTGGTGGGTACAGAATATTTGGGTAAGAATTACTTCACTCCCATCCCTATTTATTACTTTTTTATACTTGTCACGCCATAACTTCCAAAGAACAGTCTACAAGGCTCCTTTCCCCTCTGTGTCAGTCCCAGATTTTGAATCAGAAGCCCCCAGATAACATTTTCGGCCTGGACTTCAGTGGCGATGGTACCTTGGGCAAGCTGCCTATTGAAGCCTCATTTCCTCATGTACGAGGAAGGTGAAAATGTCACTTCACAGGGTTGCAGAGGGATTGAATGAGAGAATATATAAGTAAGGCAAATGTTTGATTCTAGTTACACACCTATTCTCTAGTTAGGAAAGACGCAAGTTTAAAGAAAGTCTTGAGTTGGTCTTGAAAACCTGTCCTAGCTCATAAATTGAGTTAAGCCGTGGCCCAAGTCAATAAAATTACTCCACCAAACCTGGCAATTAAGCCAAAGCATCAAACCAACAACTTGATGTAGACCTGGTTATTTTAAAAGATAAAGGGAGCCTTATAAATAAAGCCAAGCTATCAATAAAAAGGGAACCAGCCACGTCCCGGAATGTGCCTGAATGCAGAAGAACTCTTACTCTCCAGGGATCATCAAAGCTCCGGGGAGCAGTTCAAGCCAAAAGTGTGATCCCCCTGCCTTGTCCTTCAAATGATGTGTACTCTAAGCACATTTTCTGTGCAGCTGGAGGTTTTGTTATAGACATAAGGATTCTGCTTGGAGAAGCTGGTGTTTACAGCCTAACTTTTTAAAAGAGGAATTTGGAAAACTTCCCAGACACTGCATCTGCCCCTAGCCCTTGCACCTCTGAGTAGAAGGCCAGCAAGGGAGACAGTGAGAATGACTAAATTTATTAACGGTGAACGGGCCATTCTATCTTTCACTGCAACAACAGTGGGTGATCCCATCAAAAATCTGTCTGCTGGCTAGCCTGCAAATCCAAGCTGACATCCTTGCAGCAGTCATATCCAGTTGAGTGGAAACGGATGCTATTTCCTGAAAGAAACACATCACAAGCCTAATGTTGGACCACAATTTCCATTTGAGAAAAAGGTTTCTCAATTTCCATTTGAGAAAAAGGTTTTTCGATTATCCCTGTGTTGCTTTTCACATGCCTACTTTTTTCTTTCCTTTTTTTCCCTTTTAGTAATACTAAGCAGAAGTTGAGCATTTTAGAAGAACTCAGTGGTTCCATTTCTAATTCTCAGTGATGATTTTGATATATTGGGAGCGTAGTTAAGCATGCATTAATCTCAATATGTCTCAACTAGAACATAATCATGATTCATTACAAATGTACATCAGCAGCCAGCCTCACCGAAAAGCAAACTATTTACTATTTTAGGTAAAAATAAAGCAATGACATTTGAGCTACATTTTATAGCTCAAATTCCACTTCATTGTGGTCACATATGCAATATTTTAAAGACTAGCTGTTCCAAAGTGAATTCCTCATAAAACAAATGAATAACTTTATGAGTTTACAGAAAAAATATATATCTTATTCTTTGCAACTTATTTAGAAACTTGAAAAAGTGAAGTATGTCCCATAAACAGTTACAGCTGCACTGAAATATTGTTTTTAGAAACCGTAATTCATAGAGGCCATAGGACTTCCAGAACATTGTAGTACTAGTAAGTCCAGGAGCAGGGTAAGGCAGACGCCAGAAGGCTGTGCAGGTGCAAGGTCTAATCCTGTCTTTATTTAAAATTTTGATAGTATTTTCTGTGGATTTTTTGCATTGGTTTTTAAATTTAAAAATATCACATTAAAATATTATTCACATTAATACTGAGTTTTTTAGTGCCTTGAAATTGTGTACTTGAGGCGAGAGCCTCACCTGCTTCATCATAGTCCTGGCCCAGAATAATGTTTTCCCTGAAATTAGTTTTTCCCATAATGCTCTCCACAGAACACGAGACATTAATAGTTGTTGCACTACGAGAGAGAGAGAGAGAGAGAGAGAGAGAGAGAGAGAGAGAGAGAGACAATTACATCCAAACCTGTTAGGAATGCTTAGCTAGACAGTTAAATAGCTTTCTTATAATTCTTTTTAGAAGCTTTAATAACCTGATGCACATTGAGAATCTCTGATAGCATGGGGCATTTCTCAAACTCATTCACCCACAGAACACAATAAATAGTATCCATGGAACATGTTCCAGTGAACAGAATCTCAAGCACATACTTTGATCCAGTATGTCTGCCTTTTGTCATCTTTCTTTTTGTTTCTTTCCTTCTTTCACTCACCCTACTTTTTTCCCCCAGAATACTAAAAACATGGACATGTTGACACAATCAGGCCACAGTTATTAAAGGGCTGAATTAGTATTTTTATAAATAGGCATAGTAAAAATTTATTGTAAAGGGATATCAAAATAATAGAAAACACCTTGGGGCTTAGCACCTCTTAAATAAAGCAATGTCAAACGTACTTACCGGTAAAGTCTGTATTGACTGGGTGAGTGGAGCTGGGAAATTTATAATACCCATTTCCTGTGAAACGAATTCCTTTCATCACCCTGGCCATCGGAGCTGGTAGAGATGACTCTCTCCTTTCCAGCTGATATATAGGTGAGGGTCCATTTAGTTCTTCAGGTGGAAACCACCTAATACTGATTGCTGTGCTGTTGATGCCTTTAACCAGAGGAGGCCTCAGTTGGGCTGGTGCTGAATATTAGAAAACACTTGTCATTCAAGAACTTGGTTTCGAACTCTAGACACAGATATCCACACAGAGGTGCACACACACTTGTGGACATCACACTCTAAATTAAATCGGTTGTGGTCTTAAGTATCTGTTTGGTTCTTTGAACTGAAAACACAATGTAGAGTTTGTCTTAAATGTGGCTAAACAAAATTTAAATGACTAAATAATAATTAACACAAAACTTTCACAATTACATAAAATTATTTTCTTGGAAATAATTTCTCTATTCTTTTTTGCTAGATAACAGGTACATTTTAGTAGCTGCTGTTGGTGCCCTGCCCAGAGACCCTTTGCCAAGCATGGACATTGGTGATTGCTGGCCTCTGATGGCTCATGGTTGCCCTCTTCTCTGGAGAATTCCCCTGGGATGAGTGGGCGTGCCTCACCCAGGAGCTACAGAATTCCCCAGTGAAACCTGCAGCCAGTGACTAACACTAATCACAAAGGGCAGAGCCCCTTGTCTTAATGTGATATCAACTCACTGCTGCAATTCACAGAGTCCAAGCTGGTAATGGAAATGATTAACATGGGCTAGTCGGAGAGATAAGAGGGGGTGTGGGGTCTGAGAAGAACTGGGCAGGGGTGAATTGTTTCCAATTTGTGCCAACCAATGGGTAATGCCAGGATGATGACCAAAGGTTGCAAAATCTTTTATTTGTTTACAAAAAAGAAAGAATTCAGAAAGTTATTTTTTAAAACAATTAAATTTTTCAAGAGTAGTTTTAGGTTCTTGGCAAAATTGAGAGGAAGGTACAGAGTTTCACCATATAACCCATAACCCTGCCCCTGCATGTGCACAGCCTCCCCCATTATCAGTACCACCCACCAGAGTGGTACATTTGTTACAAATATGCACCTGCATTGACACATCATTATCACCCAAAGTCCACAGTTTACATTAGAATTTACTCTTGGTGTTGTACGTTCTCTGGGTTCAGTCAGACGTATAACAACACAAATCTATCACCATAATATCATACAAAGGCATTTCACTGCCCCCAAAATCCTCCGTGTCCCACCTACTCATCCCTCCCTCCCCCAACCCCAAGAAACCACCGATCTTTTCACTGGTTCCATAGTTTTGCCTTTTCCAGAATGTCATATATTGAAATCATACAGTACGTAGCCTTTTCAAACTAGTTTCTTTCACTTAGTCATACGCATGTAAGTTTCTCCCATATCTTCTCATGGCTTCATAGCAATTTCTTTTTAGGGATGAGTAATATTCATATTCTACAGGACATATCATAGTATATTTACCCATTCGCCTACTGAAGAATATCGTGGCTGCTTACAAGTTTTAGAAATTATTAATAAAGCTGCTAAAACATGTGTGTGCAGGTTTCTGTGTGGAAATATGTTTTCAGCTCCTTTGGGTAAATATCCAAGGAGTATGATTGCTGGAACGTATGGTAAGAGCATGTCTAGTTGTGTAAAAAGGCTGCCAAACTATTTTCCAAAGGGGCTGCACTATTTTATGTTCCCACCAGCAATGAACAAGAGTTCTTGTTACTACACATCCTCTCCAGCATTTGGTGTCATCAGTGTTCCAGATTTGGGCCATTCTTATAGGTACATAGTGGTAACTCAATGTTTTAAAAGAAAATTTGCACTTTCTAATGACATTTAATGTATAATGCATCTTTTCATATACTTATTTGTCCTCTGTATATCTTCTTTGGTCAGAAAGTCATGTTTATATGTAATTTTCTGATTTTTAAAGCTTAAAAACTGATTTAAATGAAAAAAAAAAAAAAAAACTCTTGTAGAATATCCATTCCTTAGGATAGTTGAATTTCAGAGAAGCATTAATTATCCTTTTTAAAAGACAAAAAAAAAAAAAAAAAAAAACCCAAGCCAAAACCACTCTGAAAGCCAAACAGAATCTAAATGAAAGACCAAGCCTGACAATCCAGTGGCTCCCAAGCAAAAACCACTCTGAAAGCCAAACAGAATCTAAATGAAAGACCAAGCCTGACAATCCAGTGGCTTACAAACAATGGTCCAGGCACAGTGAACTTTGGGCAGTCTCTGGGGCCATGAAGAGGCAGAGAGCACCCCGGCCCTGAAGTGACCACACCACCAATTGTGGCCTACGCCTTGGGGCAGCAGGTGCCCAGTTCCTGCCTATGTATTGGGGTCTTGGCATGCTTTGAGGTCCTGGGACAATAACAGTTCTTTGGAGGTTCCTGGAAAATGCTGGGAGTGACAGAGATTAAGATTTTCCCTACAACCAGCTGAAAAGGGGGATTAGAGTAACTGAGTTACTGAAAATGAAGGTTTGCTTTGGTTTATTTTTTCTTAAGTGGTTGTATTTGTGGGCTGAGATCCATTCCCACTTGAAGTGTGTCCACTGGATGTGAGAGTGACAGGGAAGACAGGAACAAATGTCACAATCACCAAGACACCAAGCCTGTGGACTTTTAATTTACACCTGCACTAACAAAGCCTTACACAGACATAAAGTCATTGCCTGTTTCTATAAACATAAATCAAAATGATGTGAATATAAGAATTGAATCCCTTAAACCATGGAAGGAAATTCTCCTCAAAATAGTTTAGAACAAGTACTATTTGTTACTTTCAGACCTTGGCCAGAAAGAGAAATGGTTATAATTGTATTTTAACTTTCAGTAAAAATAAATAAATAAATAAATATGGTACTGAGCTAAAAGTTCATGAGCTTAGAAATATAATTAACAATTCTGCTCATCTTCTGCTACTACAACTCATGTGATATTTTTATTTTTATATATGTATGAGTCTGTAAATTATATGCATGATTTCTCTTAGCATTCTTTTCCAAAAATTAGCTAAATGGTGGGTTCTCAAGGATTTCATTCTATGAACTACAATCCCACTTCAAAATAACTCAAAACAAAATAAAAGCTAAGCCTTCCAGAAATTTCTTCTCCTCCTAAGCCTCTCTTTAGAGTTTGGAGTTC